ATATTGAAATAAATAATAATTTAATATTTTTACATAATATTGTAAATAACTAAGTTCACTTATATCAAGTAATAATTCGAGAAAATAACTTTCAAAAAAATTAATAATAATTTTAAGCTCTTAATCTATATTTATTATGTAATTATATATACTAAAATTAATATTTATTGTATTTCAGTAATTATTTATTGTTTTTTGTGATAGATGTATTTTCAATGATTATGTATAAATTTATTTTGTTTTGTTATTTAACAGAAAACTTTCAATAATTGTTGGAGATTAAACTACTATTATTGAATTTTTTAAATTTAATTTATTGTACTTATTGTATTTTTGTTATAACTTATTGATTAATTTATATTTATTAGAGATTAAACTATTATTTGAGATTATACTATTTATTGACTAAGTTAATATATTTTTAGTACTTATTGTATTTTTTTCATTACCAATATATTTTCAATAATTGTATATTTTCGCTATAAATTTTCAATAATTATTAGAGATTAAACTATTGTTATTTATTAATTTAGCTAAAATTATAAGTGTTCATGAGTTGGTTCGGCCAGTCGTAGGCTATTTGGCTAACCAAATTGACCTAGTTAGGTTGGGGAGTTGGTGAGCTGAAACCGACTGATTTTTTGTGAAAATCGATCCACTCAAGTTGTTTCGGTTTGGGTTAGTTTTCACAAAAGGCCAATTGGTTCAAAAGATTTAAATTGAAATATTAAATTAAATTTTAAAAATTACAATGCAATTATTAAAAAATAAATTTAAAAATTAGAATTATGAAATAAAACATTTTAGACTAAGAAATATGGGAAATTTCTCACTTTTTTATATTAAAAATTATATTTAAAATATAAAATATTAATATATATCCATGGTTTGGTTGTTCGATTTTGGTCGGTTTACAAATGGCCAAAGTGAAACTGATCCAACTTGGTCGAATTGGGAAATTTTTGAACCAAAACCAACCTAAAATACTAGAAAACCGACCAACTCAGGTCGAGTTGATCGGGTTGGTCGGTTTCATAAGTTTGATGATTAAACCTAACTGAAATTAATTATTGTTATTTTTGTATATAAAAATTTTATTAAAAGTAGTATATAAAATATGAATAATTATTAATTATTTAAAAAAGTAGAAAATATAAAACAATTGTATACTCTTATGTGTTTCTATTTGGGTCATTTACTAGAACACACCTTATAGTTTTATATATTTACTTAAACCAGCTTATAGTTTTCATTTTACTAAAACATCACATATATTTTACAGCTTATAGTTTTCATTATGGATTGTTTGTTTTTCCATTAGACCCATGATTTTTTATTCCAAAAATACCCTTACCACTTTTTTATATAGAAAACAAAATTGGCCAAATATAGCCAATAGAGTGGTTGCCTGTATCTTATTAAGGGCAAGAATTGTATTTTTATTTCTATTTTTTTTATTAAATTTATTTAAATGAACATTAGTGTCAACACTGTCATTTTCCACTATCATCTAATAAAAGATTGATTAAATCCGTTGTAAATTATAAGTGGTGTTTTAGTAAAATGCTAACTATAGGGTAGATTTTAATAAATCCATGAAACTATAAGGGTATTTTAGTAAATAACCATTTCTATTATTTTTCTTTCGTTTAATAAATCTTGTGCATCGCACGGCCCCCCGCTAGTCTCCATATTAAAACGGTAAAACCTAAACAGCAGCCCTCATCTCCCGTCATTGTTATATCGAGGATAGGGCTGCAATTTGGGTTGGGTTAACCCAAATACAACCTAAACCCAACTTGAAAAAGTATGTTAGGTTTAAATTCGGGTTACGGTTAGGGTTAAAAAATATGAATCAGATTTAAATTTGGATTTGGTTAGAATTGAGGCCTTGATTATTCTGAACCTGATTTAACTTCATATTACATGTATAAATATTATATAAATATGTATTTATGTAAGTAATTATGCAGTTATGCATATGTTTATCCATGCATGTATGTATATGCAACTATGCATTCATAAACTGAAGAGTTGGTGGATATATGCAACTTGACTCTTTGTTGTTGAAAAATGTCAAAAAAAAAACCCTAAGGCTGTGTTTGGTTGCAATGCAAATAAGTTTGCACTGTTGCAAAACCATGACAGTACAAATGATCTAAGTGTAAATTATGACCTGTTTTTTTTTTTCCAAATTTTAACTTATTTTGTTTGATTGCGGTACAATGAAGTAAATTAAGTCATGAAGCAGAATAGAGTAAAATCCAAAACAAAATTAAATAAGAATTTGCATTTTTTACATTTGCGCTTCCATGCATTTGTACTAGTACAAATAAAATTGCACTGCAAAGCTTAATTTGGAAATAGTACAAATATGTAAAGTGCAAAACCTTATATTTTGTATGTATTTACACTGTCTTTGTTTGTATTTATACTCTTTCCAAGCTGAGCCAATTGGGAAAAGTACAAATACAGGTTTAGAAATATAAAAATAAGACTTTTGCACTCCTTCCAAACTGAGCCTAAAAAAATTACAAGGCCAATTTTCTTATGTGGGGAGAAATTTTTTTATTAAATCTACAATTACTTCCATTCCATCATACTTTATGGCTACCCTAGCCTCAAAGTATTCGTAACAAGATAAATGCCGTAGTGCAAATTAAAGGTTTATTTGCGGAGTAGGAGTAGATTTATGAAGAGTAAATAACTAAAGATTGTGGTGGGTTGAGCATACAAGTTGTTATATCAAGAATTAAATCTTGCTAAGGCTAAGGAAACTGTCATGGAGATTCTTGACGGAACGAGAGGTAGGCTTTGGGTAGGTCCTTTGTCGAAGAGATCGATACTTGGCCAATACTACTAGAGAGGAGCGGTACTGATTCTTTTATTTGGCAATTAGCAATTAATGCCATATTCATAATAGAAATGTATGATTGCAATTCACGACGGATGAATCTCTCTTATCAGTCACCGCCCTCTGTAGGGAGCGACAAAATTGCAGAACTTATCGATTTTGACATAGGTTTGTGGAAAAGTGGTGATGTAATCACCATGCACGGATGTTTGATCCCATTACTACAGCTTAACAAATAATGGAGATTAGAACTACCTGTCAACTCTTGTGCCATTTTGGAGTTCTGACCGACTGGTATGGACTTTGACCCGACATGGTTGCTCCGAACTAAATATATGGTTACAGCTTCAAGTCAACAATTTGTGTGTACAGTACATTTTACCTGTTAAAGCATTTCTTTTGACAAGTTTATAATAAATAAGGTTCAAAATATCGATATATCGGTAGGGATGTATCAGTCTGTATCGAGGCTCATTTTTCTTTTCTTTTTTAATTTGGTTTGGAGGAATCAGCCTAAGTTTTATCTACTTTTTAAACTATGATTTAACCCAAAATACTTATTATAGGGGCGTACTAATACGATGATACGTATCGGCCGATATGATCCAATATGTATTGAAACTCTGAACTTTCATAGTAAAATTGGCAGCATGTATGCTTTGTGCAATGCAGCTAAAGAAGATGTATTGATTTACATTGCCCAGCGCAAATGAGTCATGCCTTTTCTCTTCGACTGCAAGAGAAATATAGGCTCAAGCTTGGGAATAGTGCAAATACACGTGACACACTACGTACGATGCAAATTTCACTCTTCCGAAGCTAATTAAGCCATAGGGATTGGAATTCGGCTTATCGGCTAGCCTATATTGGTGGAGCAAACATGATGATGATAGTCTCCTCCTGGAATTGCTGGAAAGCTAGGTGTAAGGGCTTTTGTGATTGCTGCGGCCCAAGCTCAGATTGATGAGTTGGTGTTCTACCATACCACAACATAACGCATCAATGTAGGCCGTTGGCTTCCTCTGAGTCTTTGACTCTTCTTACATGGATATTAATATATTATCATGCGAGCGGGATCCCGAGCCGAGGTTTTTGAGCAGGAGTTGTTAGATCGGATGGCCAGGGATTTTGAACCTTTCTCACGTTATTATTGAAGGAGACACGTAGAAAATTGCAAGGAGCTTTTATTTGGTTTCCACCGTTCATTAGTCTCCTATATCCCATGGACATGCAAGCAATTCTACAACTTTTAATGAAGGATGATCGATCGATCTGAATTTGAGCCATTTAATTATGGTTGGATGGAATATAAATTCTCCCTAATCCAAATTCTTCATTTAGATTCACACTAGTCGGGACACGTACAATTCCTGAGATGCATTTTCAAATTTCAATTAGGAGAATTCAGTAAATCGAATTCAAACATTATTTTTTGGGTTATGTCTAACCGGTCTAATTTCAATCCAAGTTGCACCCTGGTGTGAGTGGCCAAATTTTGTATTGACTTATATTTTTTTTATGGGATTTAAATGATACTTAAATTAGTAAAAAGTAACTTTAAAAATAATACATTTTTGCTAATGTTTATTAATTAATTCACATTTATTTATTTTTGGAATAACTTTTTATTGATTCATATTAAAACTAGATTTTTTATGGGAAAGTAGATAAAAGAATAGATGGAAATTGGAAATAATTTAAAAATTCCTATATGAGGTTAGGAATTGAGAGAGCTAGAAACCATATAAGGAAAAAAATAGAGGCAATAAAATATAACACTCATTTTGGAAAGAAAGAAAGAAAAGGCCACGTCATGGTTAAAAATCCCTAAGATTTATGCCATATATTTTTAGATGAAATTAGTTAATTTTAAAAATCACATAGTTGGTTTGAATATTGTTTTTCTAAAACTTATTTTCAATATATTTGATCCGTGTGTTTGAAGGAATTATGCCAATATAAAGGAATCAAATTTGGATCTACCCAATATTCCCATTCGAGTCCGATCCGTTTGTGGGCCATGTCTAAGCTGTACACACACTCCTTACAACCCAACACAGCCACACTCGTACCTCATTACACTGCTTAGTTTTTTAGCCTATAGCTTGCCCTGCTGTTAGGCCAGATATTTTTCCTCTATATCGTTAGAGTTGTTGTAACTTCGAAAAAAAATATATTTTCTGTGGGATGTGGCGCTTCTTCAATTTGCTTCGCTGTAGAGCCCAACCTTCACCCCTATGATTCCATTAAAGTCGCTAAACTCCAGATAAAACGAGAAGGGAAACAGAGAGAAAATCAATCACAAAAAAGTTCTGCAGCATTTCGTTTCGTGCCCCTTGCATCTCTTCCTTTCTGTTCTCTCAAAACACAGAAAGGAAGAGATAAACAAGTGCCAGGAAACCTTTATTCTGATTTTCTTACTTCTAGTTTCTCTTGGTTTGCTTCAATGGCGGAAGAGAAGAGGAACATTTCAAGCGATGAACTTAAAAAGCATAACAAAGCGGAAGATCTGTGGATCTCTATCCAGGGAAAGGTCTACGACGTCACGGATTGGATTAAAGATCACCCGGGCGGTGAAACCTCACTCCTGAATCTCGCCGGCCAGGACGTCACAGATACTTTTGTTGCTTTCCATCCGGGCACTGCATGGAAATATCTCGACCGGTTCTTCGTCGGGTACTTGAAAGACTACCAAGTTTCCGAGGTGTCGAAGGATTACAGGAGGCTTGTTTCCGAGTTCTCTAAATTAGGTTTGTTTGAGAAGAAAGGGCACGGGATCTTCATTTCCCTTTGTTTTATGGCAATTCTATTTGCTATTTCCGTCTGCGGCGTCCTGTTCTCTAAGAACGTCTGGGTTCATCTAGCCTCCGGTGGGCTGATGGGTTTTCTTTGGATTCAGAGCGGGTGGGTTGGGCACGATGCTGGACATTATCAGATCATGACTAGCCCTGGGTTCAACCGGTTCGCGCAGGTCCTTGCAGGCAATTGCCTTACAGGGATCAGCATTGGGTGGTGGAAGTGGATTCACAATGCTCATCACATTGCCTGTAACAGTCTCGATTTCGATCCAGACCTCCAACACATCCCCCTCTTCGCGGTATCTTCAAAATTCTTCAATTCACTCACATCTTACTTTTACGAGAGGAAGATGACTTTCGATTCTATTGCTAGATTTCTAGTGAGTTACCAGCATTGGACTTTCTACCCTGTTATGTGCTTTGCCCGAATTAATCTCTTTGCGCAGTCGTTCTTGTTGTTGGTCTCGAAGAGAAGGGTCCCCAATAGAGGTCAGGAGCTTGTGGGTGTCCTTGTCTTCTGGGTTTGGTTTCCCTTGCTTGTTTCCTGCCTGCCCAATTGGGCTGAGAGAGTGATGTTCGTGGTTGCGAGTTTTTCTGTTACTGGAATTCAACATGTTCAGTTCTGCTTGAATCATTTCTCATCAAGTGTGTATCTTGGACCACCTCGCGCAAATGACTGGTTTGAGAAGCAAACGAAGGGCACACTTGACATTGCTTGTCCATCTTGGATGGATTGGTTTCATGGTGGATTGCAATTTCAGGTTGAGCATCATTTGTTCCCTCGATTACCACGGTGCCATCTCAGGAAGATCTCCCCATTTGTGAGGGATCTCTGCAAGAAGCATAACTTGCCTTATACAAGTGTTTCATTCTTTGAGGCTAATAAGATGACAATCGGGACACTGAGGACAGCAGCATTGCAAGCTCGAGATCTCACCAATCCGATTCCAAAGAATTTGGTCTGGGAAGCAGTTAACACTCACGGTTGATGTTTGATGAGGCGTACTGACACTCTACTGTTGCAATTATTTGGATCCACCAGGAATTAAGTCGGTACACCTTTCTTCCTCTTGATGGTTGTCTCAGGGAGATCGTCAGCTGGTTTCTGTGGAGGGAGGACTTTCACCATTGATGGCAGACGTCAATTCTCCATTCTCTCTTCTCCTTATTCATAGTATCCGCTTATCCGTTCTTGCCTTTTTCTGATTGAGGTTACATATTTTCCATAGATTCATTTGCAGGATGAGGTATATTATTTATTTTCTGCCTTGTTTGGATTAGTAATGCAAAAAAAAAAAATGTTTATTTATCCAGTCGCCCCAAATCGGCTAGATAGTTAGCATGCTTCTCTGGGTTGTCGAATCTCCTCATAGTTGTCTTAGTTGGGTTAGGAGTTGCTTATTATCTAGGTCAGTTGATGTAACATTTGCAAGCTTTGGTTTTTGTCAATACCAAGGTTAGTTTGAACTTTGAAGATGGGACTTTGTCAAATTAGTAGGTACTCCATGGTAATTTTCTTTATTACATATTATATTTTGCATGTACATTTTTTGTGCACTTTCATCTTTTGTTGATTTGGTTTTTGAGTAACTTTACCCCTTGCAGCACAAAAATTGGAGAATGAACTTACCCTAAATTGCTTAAACTTGAATTTGTGCACTTTCATCTTTTATTTCTCGGTGATGACAGAATTCTGGATTTTTTTAGGTCCCTAGATCAGCAAGCATTCTAGTTTATTTTCTTGCTAGAGAAGGGGTTAACAGAGTCATTTTTGTAGGGATCTCATCCCCCCTCCCCTAATTAGTTATGTTTTAATGTATTTGTAGACAGTATGTTTTTTGGGGCTAGCTCTCAGATTCAGATTATATATGAAAATAGAGTTTGATGACTCTCATTCTTTTTGTACTTTATTATATTTCTGATTTTTTTAATAAAAATCCCTGGTTGTTCAATAATTATTGAAAAAGCTGATTATAGATGAAGTAAACAAATAGTTAATCCCTTATTATTGTTAGAGGTAGCAGTAGTAGTAGTGCCAAATTTCCCTCTCTTCTTCAGCAATTGGTTTAGAAATTATTTTTGGTACCAAAATACATTGTTTTCAGTTTTTTTTTTTTCTTTTGACTCAGATAGATGTCAATCCGTCCATAAGGCAATACTATTTTTGTAAAACTACAGCTTCCCTAGAATGTACAGAGAAGAAATTGGATTTTAATGTAAGAAAACGATTTTTTTATTACAATTCATTATATTAGGGATTTTTCTGACAGTATTCTTGTCATTAAAATGCAATTTTCTTTTATAGGATCAATATGCTTCCAATGCAAAAGAAAAACCAGCGGAAGCAGTATAATTGTTTCCTTATTTCTTTAAAGTACCTACAAAGTAAGGAATTGGATAGGTAGAGATGACTGCAAATCCACTAAAAACTGTCCTAGGACAAATTCAAATTTTATACCATTAAAAAAAAACTGTCATCTCCTATATTGTGTTCCAGGTCTCAGCATAGCTGTTAGAGATTAACTTGGACCTTTTTAATTGCTCTACATGTGCTCAAATATCTCAGCAGTTTCATCACTTGCGCAAATTGAAGCTTTTCATCAGTAACATTAATTCCAGTTTGCATGTGCTCTCCAATTGTAAACTATAGAATGCAGGAAGCCTGCTGACTGTATATCTAAGATACAGTCATCTCTGATTTGTCCAACATATATCCATGGAAGTACAGTAATAGAATATGCAGCTATATGAATCTATGGTCATGCATAAACATTTAAATGTTTCTTTAAATATGTTGGTACTGTTGAATAGAAAGATTAATTGAACCAATGCTGTCAGTCATCAGTTTTTGCAAATCCTCCATCCCAGCCTAACCTAGTGCTTACACAAGTTACAAGTATGAATGGGTAACAATGAGGACAGCTAAATAGACTACTTGTTTACATGACCACAAAAGAAAAGCACTCTGATTAATAACAGGAGACTTTTATTGGGAAACAATCAAGTTTTATCGACATAAGGAATTGTAAATGAGTATGATAATCGTGCCTGACACCCCTTTTGTTAGATTTAAGCTTGCCCAACTACCTAATCCAATTCAATTTATTCCTTTGCATTTCCAATTCAGTTTTCTAGGGGAATATTTCTCCAGATTCCTTTGCACTCCTTGTCTAGCCAAAGCATCAGCTAAGGTATTAGCAAACCTCTTAACCAAATCAACACTGTTCCCATCAACCCCATTAGACTTTCTCTTATGATATGCCTTGAAATCTTAGGGTCCATTTGGTTTGTGGGAATAGGTGTCTGGAATTGGAACCGGAGTGGTCAATTCCGATTCCAACTGTTTGGTTGGGCAGAATTGGAACCACATTCATATTCTTGGTGGAATGGCATTTTCCTTGAGGGAGGGAGTGACAATCTCATTCCTTCATCCTCTATTGGGAATGAGAATTCATTCAAGCTGATTCCGATTCTGATTTTAATTTTAATTCCGACTGAAAACCAAACAGACCCTATTCTATCGCGGGGTTATTGTAGTTAAGAGCCTTCTTCAATCTTAATTCCTTGCAATAATTCTAACAATTCTGCCCTTGTAGAGTCTCTATGATCAGTTGGTTTTGGGAAAGTTGTCATAATTAGTCCTTAAATCTTAACTACTCTGCCTATTCATGATTCTCTTGAATATATATCGGTTAGGCAAGGTGCCAACCAGGTGGTTGGTAAGGTCTCCTGCTGGTTGTAGCGGGGACTTCGGATCAAATCCCGCCTGCACCTGGGTTGGGGGATGGACTATCTCCCGTTGTATAGCCCTTCAAAAGAAATAAAAAAAGAAAAGAAAAGAAATTGGTTACAATGTATTTATTTATTCAAATAGTAGTTATCTCTAATATCAAAATAATTAGTGGTAGTTCTCCATTAAGAAGAAAAATAAAACAAAAACTCATTTTAAATGATGCGGCATCCATAAAGTGGATTATAATTTAGAAATAAAACTAGACTTATTAGTCTTATTAATCTCTTAAGTTAAAAGCAAATCTATACATAAAAAATCTATCCATAGAGTGGGTTATATACCTTCCTTGAAAAAACAAATATGAAACAGTAACCTAAATTTATAACATAAAAAATGGGTGTCAAACAACAGTTACTGGAATACATAAATAAAAAAGTCAGAATACTAGCCCAATACATCAGGTCATTCTCTTGTTTATGTTATGAAATTATATGTTAAGAAATGATTTAAGTTCTCGTAAGTTAATGTAGAATATGGCATTGAACAGATTGAAAAGAACGAATAATAAAACAGGATTTATGTAATAAACCTCATATAGTTGGCACATGGCTATCTTCTTTTATGGATATTTCAGGTTAAACTTAACTGTACATTTATGCAATAGGTTGGGTAGAACCAACAGACCCAAAGTAAACTGACCGAATAATCTGCATTGTGTCTTTGGTTGTTTTGAACCCAGGGGCAGAACCAGTGGGCACCCATGGGAGCCTTGGTCCCCCGAACCTCGAAATTTCCCACAATCCCCACTTGTACTATTAATATAATACACCAATTTACCCTGACTCAGCCCCTATCTCAAACGAATAAGAGCCTCTCAGTTTTATATAAAATTATGAATATGCATATTGACATATTAGGATACCCCATTTCGAAAAAATACCCTTTTTATGACATAGTGGTAGTATTATCATATATGATTATATGATGACTGGGTTAATTTAACAACTAATTTTGTTCAATCGATCCCTCCCAAAAATATATAAGTAGGGTTTGAGTATTGATGGGGCACGATCCGGGCACTCTTAGCTGGCGGCTGACTGGCTCATCGCTGGCAACGATCGGCACCTGAGAAGATGAAATGAAGGATTCCCGGGGATTAAAGCCCGATGGGAATACTCCGATGCTTAAGTTAGTACTGTGTATGGGGAGTAACGAGAGAAACAAAAGCTAAGAGTGGAGGTTGTGCTTTATCACTATATTCCCGAGATTAGAGGTCTCAAGAGAGCCTTTCTCTTCTGCCCTGGGGGGCTCTTATAGGAGTGCTCTTGCGAGATCTGGCATAACCGCCACTGGGTCCCTGCCACACCCGTTACTTGCCAGGGCTGCGCAGGTGGCCGTTGGGACGTACTCCTTACTCGGG